AGGGATCCCAGGAGCTAACTGGAAGTCATACAAACCTCCAGAATTTGAGAAAATAATTAAAAAATAATTGCAAAGCATCAGCAAGAAAAAGTACAGCCTCAGAGTATAGAAAAATAATAATTTTTATTAAAAAAAATTAACATAAAAAAATATAGATAGTAAAATGCAGATTATGTGTGGATAGAGATAGGGCAAGGGGGGATGGTTGAAAACTAAGACAGGGGAGGTTTAGGTTAGACACTAGGACAAAGTTTTTCACAGAGAAGGTGGTGACGCACTGCAACAGGTTGCCCAAGGAGGTTGTGGATGCCCCACCCCTGGAGGCATTCAAGGCCAGGCTGGATGTGGCTCTGGGCAGCCTGCTCTAGTGGTTGGCAACCCTGCATGCAGCAGGGGGGTTGAAACTAGATGATATTTGAGATTCTTTTCAACCCAGGCCATTCTCTGAGTCTATGATTCTATGAAAATACTAATTGGTTATGATCTCAATTATATCAGAGAGTCCAGAAGGAGTTCATCCTCATCTTCCTCTGGCTCCAAATCCACTTCTTCTTCCAAATCTTCATCTGAGAGCTCTAGCACTAGCTCCTCCAGGTCATCCTCTTCAGCAAAGGGTGCTTTCCCTGCCCCGGTGGGGCACAGCTGCTGTGTGTTTGCTGTTATTTCAGGAGGAGCAGAAGCGGACCTGGAGTCCTCTGCCTGGGCCACAGAGTCTGCACAGCATCCCAGAGGCATGTCAGAGAGCTCCTGAAGGAGTTCATCAACATCCTCCTCTGGCTCCAAATCCACTTCTCCTTCCAGGTCTCCACCGGAGAGCTCCAGCATTAGCTCCTCCAGGTCATCCTCTCCAGAAAAGGGTGCTTTCCCTGCCCTGGTGGAGCACAGCTGCTCTGTCTTTGCAGTTATTTCAGGAGGAGCTGAAGTGGAGCTGGACTCCTCTGCCTGGGCCACAGACTCTGCCCAGCATCCCAGAGGTGTGTCAGAGAGCTCCTGAAGAAGTTCATCCTCATCTTCCTCTGGCTCCAAATCCACTTCTCCTTCCAGATCATCATCTGAGAGCTCCAGCACCAGCTCCTCCAGGTCATCTTCTCCAGCAAAGGATGCTTTCCCTGCTCCGGTGGGGCACAGCTGCTGTGTCTTTGCTGTTATTTCAGGAGGGGGGGAAGCGGAGCTGGATTCCTCTGCCTGGGCCACAGACTCTGCCCTGCATCCCAGAGGCGCGTCAGAGAGCTCCTGAAGGAGTTCATCCACATCCTCCTCTGGCTCCAAATCCACTTCTTTCAGATCTCCACTGGAGAGCTCCAGCATTAGCTCCTCCAGGTCGTCTTCTCCAGCAAAGGATGCTTTCCCTGCCCCGGTGGGGCACAGCTGCTGTGTCTTTGCTGTTATTTCAGGAGGAGGGGAAGCGGAGCTGGAGTCCTCTGCCTGGGTCACAGACTCTGCCCAGCATCCCAGAGGCAAGTCGGGACTTGGGAGAACAAGGAAGAGAGAAATCAGTACATGACACTTCTTGACTGGAGAAGCATTTTCCTAAGACCAGCTCTAAAACCTGTAGTTAACCTTTCCTACAACTCCTACCAATATGGGGGTTGTCATTCCTTAAACCTGGGGCTACAGTTCAGGTCCAATCCAAAAGCGGGCATGATTTCCTGTGGGAA